GGAAGCTCACTCTCATCTGCCTTCGGCGGGTCACAGTCCTGGGTGTCAAGCTCCAGCTCCAGGACCCGGCGGGTGGGGGGCTCCGAGTGGTGTCCGTCTCCTGCCGTCTTGGTCAAGTACATGGCGTGTCGCACTTTCGCCTGTGCGGGATGTTCGTAGCTGTAGCTGGCTCCCTGTGCTTGCGGGGTTGCTACGGGGGCAGCGCCGGTGGGAGCCGCCCTACCCCCGCCCGTCACGCCCGTGAAGGGGGAGAGTCGTCCTTTGAAGGGGCTGGGTGGTTTGAGCGCAGTAGGGGAAGGGGCAGCCGAAGGCGTGAGGAAAGCCCCGCCATGGCTAAAAGGTGTCGAGCAAGGGAGGGAGGACTGGGAGGAGGTGGAGGAGCGTGGGGGAGAACCCCGTCTCGGGATGGGGTGGGCCTCGGCGACAGGCGGGGTGCATCCCGCCCCGGGGCCGCTCTCGTCCATGAAAACGACCTTGACGGAGGGGGTGTATGCGGTCCAGGGTCGGTCTTTGGCTGCTGCCAACGCCGTCTCTCGGATTTGTTGGAAGTCGGCGGGGGCCAGAAGGCTTTCCACCCACTGAGCCCCGCTTGCTTGCGTCAAAGGCCCCCCTCTCGCTTGAGGCAGGCCCACGCGATCCGCCACGTGTGGCTCCGCGTCTTTTTCCTCCACTTTGCCTTCCACGGCCACCCTTTCCACCTCCATTGCAGGGGCTCCTTCCTCCCCCTGCCCGGCCATTCCCTCCCTCCCGGTCTCCGGGCCCACACCGAGGGTGCTGTCATCATTGGCCTTGTTTGAGGCTTCTCCGTTGCCCACCGAGGCAAGGGCCGTATCCTTTGCGCCAGCTTCGTCCCTCCCTAACGCTTTCATCAACGCCGGATACAGAGTTTCAATCCAGGGTTCCACTGTGCCTTCCAATCCCACGGCCTCGTCCGCTGTCCCCAAATTGTGCATTCGTCGGCCACCCACTTCGGACAAGCGCGTGTCCATACTCTTGCCCATGTGACAGAATTTATCGTAGTTCGTGTCCCCCAGACCCAACACGGCGAAGTGCATTCGGTTGGCCAGGAGCGTCTTGGGCTGCGTCCGCCGCTTCAGGAAGCGCCAGAATTTTTCTGCATTTTCCGGGGCGTCACCATTCCCAGTAGTGGCGCACACAAATATGCCTGCCTCGTACTCTTCAAATGTGGGATTGGATAGCTTCTTCCAATCATTCATGGCCAGCAACCGGGCACCTGGTAATCCATGCTTGTTCTGAAGCTCGGCGTGGATGCGCTTGGCGATGAACTCGGAGTTGCCCGTGGCGCTTCCAAAACATACCAGAATGGAGGGGTGGCTAGA